ACGCACGCACGCACGCACGCACGCACGCACGCACGCTACCCATCTAGCCAGGCTATTTTGGGTGGTCCACAACACAATCAAACAAAAACATAATTACAAGTATAAAATGAATTCAGCATATAAAACATCATAAAATATAATGACAATTAAATAATCACATAATAAAATATTAGATATTTAAATATTTCAAATGGTGCAGAGGGCAGAAAAATCTTTTCATCAAAGGCTGTTTTAAGACAAACATGTTTAGGCTTCTTTTGTTAATTTCCCTACTTACCAGAAAAAGATATTGCATATTTTGGATTAAAAATAAAACTATGTGGAAAATGCCTTAAAATTGCTTCCACCTCCCACTCTGTCAAACAGAAAGCAATTTGTAAGGCTGGCAAAAAAAAAGTGTGTACCATATAATACAATCTTACCGAAATCCTTTACTGGGTACTTTTGAATGCAATGCAATCCAGCAATTGTGAATAGCTTTTGATGCCTTTTTAATTCTTGCTATATGAGTCAAGTCTCTCTGTGTCTCTCTTTCTCTCACACACAGATACACACACACAAACACTTTGGAAAGTTCCTTTTTTCATAGTTTTACGAAAGAATCAGTTTCTCACATACAGAACCTACCTACCTCCCTAAATTTTTAGCAGTCATTTGCATCAGTTCAGTATGTCCATTTCCTCTCATTACAAGCTGATGAATCGACCTGTCCCTCTCTCACACCTTCCTTCCCACCTTAATTGGAGCCTTCCATCCTGCTTGCATCAGTTCCTTTTTTCATAATTTTGACTCAGTGTCTCTCTCTCTCTCACACACACACATGCCCTCCCCCCTCTCTGTTTTCTACAATCTTACATTTAAACAAGCTTGATGAATCCACCCGTACCTCTCTCGCACCTTCCTTCCTGCCTTAATTGGAGCTTTCCCTCCTGCTTGCAGATACCGCCAGTGGAAGTAGTAATTCACAAGCGGGATTTACTGCCCCAGGCTGTTATACAGCAGAAAACAATAAAGCAGCTTTATGTCCGATCTCTAAAAGAACTGATTTACAAGTGCTGCAGCCGAGGAAGGTAGCAGGGATAGGTGGCTTACAGTCATGTAGTTTGAGGTTCGGGTGCAGGGTGGCAGTGGGGGGGTAATGCTCTGCTTGTGTGCCCAGGGAGAGGTCTCCGCATGCCAGCTGTGCCATCACTGCCATAGTATATTTCTTAGGGTCAAGCTAGATGATATGCTTAGCACTTATACTGCCATAGTATGTTTTTAGGGCCAAGCAGATGATATGCTTAGTATGGTACATGTTTTTCCTTACTTCTGTATTTTGCATTCCATCTCGCTTTATTATGTGATTGGTCATTAACACGTTACCATGGGCTTACTTTGCAAGTCTTGTTGCTAAGACACATATCTCTGAGCAAATTGCATTGGTGGGCCAGGAAAAAATAGGGAGGGAGATAATTTTGAGGAATCCATATTTGCACTAATGTCTATTAAACTGCCAAAAGGTTCCTCTGGGTTTTCTTTTTAATTGAAGCCAGCAGGGACAGCTGAGGAGCCTAACGCCGAGAAGCCCGGAAGGAAAGAACAAGAAACTGGGCCTTCTTGGCAGTGGCCCCTCGTTTGTGGAACACTCTCCCAATGGAAATCCACCTGGCTGGGCGTTTTTTAAAAGCCATTTAAAAACTTGGCTCTTTAGGCAGGCCTTCCCTCCAGTAAATTAATTGATTTTTCTTTCTCTATTATCTCATCTTGATAATCTATATATGCATCTGTTAGTAGGTTTTATTATTATGTATCTTATTGTATCATATTTTATTGTATTTTATTGCTCCTGTAAGCCACCCCGAGTAGACTTTGTCTAGAGGGGGGGCGGGGTATAAGTCTAAATAAAGTAAAGTAAAGTTTAGTGGTCAAACTTGATGGATTTATTTTTAGCATTTAGATACTTTAGTTCAAGATTCTCAGAAGGGATTCCCATAAAGTTTTTGCCCTTGATGTAAAAAGGTTCTATTTTTATACTCATTGTTGTATTCCAGCTATGATACTTCCTAGCACCAGTCTTTCAGAGGGAATTGCCTGATTTCCAATATGGACTACTCATGCAAAGAGCAGGAAACCTACCTGAATCTCTTGGCTCATTCTGCCAAATCAGATAGAAGAGTTGCCATGTTAACTTTCACAAGTTCTTTTTTGGATCATTGTCGATAGTATAAACCAGACTTGTCTGGAAGATCAATACTGTTATCCTTGTACTGCAAAGTGACCTCCGGAATCTGGAGCTCATTATTAGCCCTAGACAGAATAGCCTCCCAGACATTCACTGACATCTATAGAAGGAAGCTTCTGAGCATAAGAGCTGGTGTCAGGTTACAGGTTCAGCGTATGCAGCTCCATTCTCTCCTCAGGATAGGACAGATGTGTGGAAGGAATGTCCACAATGAGCCCTGGTCTCAGTTGCTATTACATGTACAGTGGACCCTTGACTTACAGCAGGTTACAGGTTCAGCGTATGCAGCTCCATTCTCTCCTCAGGATAGGACAGATGTGTGGAAGGAGTGTCCACAATGAGCCCTAGTCTCAGTTGCTATTACATGTACTCAAAACTTCATCTGGAGTCACAAGCACCCTTCATTACTTGGTGTAGCTATTTCATGATCTGGTTTATACCACATATTGGTCCCATGTTAGTGGCAAAAAGAAAAGTCATTTCATACTTCATTTTTCTGTTTCTGTGATTATGAATTTAGTACTACATTAAAAATATCAGATTTTACAGGTGCAGAAACTGATTTTGTCTTTTCATTTTCAAAAATGTTAATCTGTGGAGGCTTTCATATCTGCCTGATAAGACCAGTTGTTGTTTTTGATAGTCCCTAGTAGAAGTAAACTGAGCGCTCTTTTTGCATTCAAGAATCTTTCTCAGCCACAGCTCAGTTTTTATAGTTTAGGAGTAAGAGATCTATAGTGTGCTTACGCTGTCTGCTAGCAATCAATGAATCCTACTGGGGAAAAAATTGTAGCATTTTCCCTACAAATGCTACACTATTGATCTTATGATGGGTTTGAATTTGTTGTGAGGGTGCATAGAATATTTCTGCAGTCATTGTGAAAAAGTCAAACTGTCCCCTCCAACAGGTATTTTATGTTTATTTATTTATTTTTAGAGTGGAGAAGAAAGCCGAGGTACTGAAAGCAAGAAAACTAAGCTGGAAGAAAAGCCTTCTTCTGTACACAGAACTTCTAGTAAAAGAGAGTGAGTGCCTTTCCTCAGTATAAAAAATCCAAAATGTGTGAAAAAGGAAAATTGCTGAAGGGCATCAAGTTTTCAAGCACAAAGGGCCCACGTGTTCCAGATTTCATTTCATGTACTCCCTTTCCTGGCAGAATTGGCAAACTTGCGTGAAGTTCCCAGTTTATGACTTGTTGAAAAGGGAAATTGGAAGTACAGTATAAGTTTTTGGTGGAATTTTAATTGCTGGGAGAAACGGGGTCTATATATCTTTATGGTGAGTGTTGTGTATATTTTAACTTTTTTTTTGTAGTGGTGTTGTCCAGTTTTACCTTGAGGAAGAGCACCTCATTTCGTTGCACCCACTTGTGAGTGCAATGACAAATAAATTTCTTATGTCTTATGTCTTAATGTTCCTTGAATCAGTTGCTATGCCAAATTGTACCATCCATATCTTTTACGTTAAGTTTAAATTTCATTTTTTTTGTTTCTGTCGTAGAGCAACATTTTGCAGAAATACTCCATAGTGGAGATTAGGTGAACCATCCTGCAAAGTCCAGAGTGTAATTCCATAGATTTAGATCAGCTAGTTTTTGTTCAGATTTTATGATATCCAGAACTTCCTTCTACTTGTCAAGTTGAAACTTGAGTTTTCAAACTCTTTTTTTTAAAACTTAAAAATAATACATTTGGAAGAATAATCTGTGTGCTTAGGGTTGGTGAAGCACAGGAATGGAAAAGTATCTTTTACTTAATGCTATGTTGCAATGATATTTTTGTCAGCAGGGCATCAAAGCAAAATGCTGCTAAAGAGAAGGATCTTCTGCCATCTCCAGCCACAACACCAATAATCCAGAAAGATTTGAAGCAAGAGCATGGGTCTCGGAAGAGAACCATCAGTCAGTCCTCCTCCTTGAAATCAAGCAGCAACAGTAATAAGGAGAGTAGCAGCAGTAAAAGTAGCTCATCTAAACAAAAGAAGACTGAAGGGAAGGCCTTGAGTAATGCTAAGGAAGCAAAGGTAAGGAAGTTATATTTTAGCCATGTATTTTCCTTTTAATTTTTTTAATCTCTTGGACATCATTGTCTGAGGAGCCAAGCATATAAGCCTTAATGCTTATATGTTGAGTAAAACACGGAAGTGGGGCCAACCAATTAGACCCATTGGTTTAGTTTTACAGTTGTACGTGCAAAGGACTTCCTGCAGGTATCTCTGCTATGTATAGAGTGGTCGGAGGATGGAGCAGGCAGATTTGTCTCATGTTGGGCACAAAGGTAGTCGATCAGAACTGTTGACTTCTTCGTCCCGTCTCCCCAAAAAGCTGTAGGTTCACAGCAATTCTTTGAATCATGAGAATATTTGGTTCATAAAATAATATGAACTCTTAAGTAGCAGCAGAAATTGGTAGGTTATAGCTGCCTGAACTGACAGATACTGATGATTACAGTAGAGCCCCCATATCTACAGAATCAGTATCCACAGTTTCACTTATCCACAGTCTGAAAATATTAAAAGGACAAAATCCAGAAAAAAACTGTTTTCACATGTATTAGCAAAAAAATCACGGGATGGAGCCAGAGACTGTGCTATAATAAGATGCTCTCTGGTACCCTCTAGCGGCCAATTTGGTAATGCATATGACAATTTTTTTTCCTTTTACCATTAGAGAGAGAGATTGAGAGAGAGAGAGGGTCTCTGTCACCCTCTAGCTGCCAGTTCTGGTAATGCATATGACAATTTTTTTTTTTTTTTTACTATTAGAGAGAGAGATTGAGAGAGAGAGAGAGCATATACTCTAATCCATAGTTTTCAGTATTCATGGGGAGGGTGTGTGTGTGTGGAACCAACCTCCACCAGATATGGGGCCCCTACTGTATTATGATTAGAGGAGGTGTTTTATCAATCAGAGGACAGCATTTCATTCCAAGGAAGATATTAGCTGTAAGTAAATTGCCTAATGTAAAATAAAAGTAAAAGTACTTGCGCCTGAGGAAAAACTGTGTAGAAATTAGGACAATGAGAGGATTTTGGCAAATCAAAAAGTAGGTAAATTACTCAACCAAGGAATGTAGTTACAATAGTTAACATGTATACTGCCCAGAGTGGCCTAGTAGCCAGATGCAGTATAGAAGATGAATGAGTGAGTGAATGAATGAATGAATGAAATAAAATAAAATAATACAACTTCTTGAGAGTCTTACATTTTGTGAGCAAACTGGAGTTGGTTTAAAGTAGTGGATTCTTAGGGAAAATTCTCACCAGCTTGTACATATGGCAAAAGCTTGTTTTTAATAAATTTTTTGGCATCCTTTTTTCTGACCCCACACTGAGTCATACCTGGATCAATGTTTAGCTAGAATGATCAGTATCCCTTCATAGTTCTGCTAGATTTAAGATCATTTTCCAAAAAAGGATGGTTTTGTTACGTTTAATTACAAGGTTTGTCTAATCAGCTAAGTTTCAGTCTTGAAATCTTTGCATATTTCTGAAGGGTGACATTTGACTGTGATTTGCTTTCTTTGCAAATATTTTTCCATGAAAAGCCTTTAAGATATGTACCAAAGCAAAAATAAAATAAAAAAAAAACAGAAGGAAAGTCGTGCACTCCATTCAGATGGGAAAAGAGTTCTCTGTGGGAAAGAAAGAAAGAGTGGCTAAAAACCTGTGGAGAATAACTTGTCAGTTATATCTCTGTTGGTGTAATGCATCTTGCCTCATGTTGTTGTGAGTTTTGAATAGGTGAAGGAGTGGAAGAAGATTGCAAGAGGGAGGGAAGAAATAGTGGTGACTAGGGGAAATTGTTGAAGAAAAGTTATCTGTACGAAGAATGGCAGCCATACAGTTAATTTGGAAAGTGATGTTTTCTTGGTTATAAGCTGTACAGTTATATAAAGGTAAAATTAACCCTTGGCTGTGGCAGCTGACTGTAAATTGATCTTCCCTGCATAATTCTGCAGCGTATGTTGGAACAGCAGTGAGTATGGAAACCTGTCAGAGCTCTGTATATATGGATGCTAAAAGATGCAAACTAAATGACACATTAACTATTTATATGCAACTCTGTCAATTGTTCTTATCTGCTGTTTTTGAAACATATCAACCTTGTTTCTTTTAAATTGTGTGTGTGGTAAACATAAATAATGATGTTCATGTGGATAGCATTTAAATGCAGAAAGTGAACCATGTGCAACGCATTTGTTAGCCAAACACTGATATTTTAACTAAATGTGGACTGTCTTCTTTCAAGGAAAAGGTTTTAAATACTTCTTCAAACTGCCCTTCTGCCTCCATTGCGACTCCAGATAATTCGAAGTCCCGGAGAGCGAAGCTAGTGTTTGACGACAGGTGAGAACAAAATTAGAAATGACTAATACATTTATATGCTAATGTTTCTATGTAGTCAATTAAAGTGTTTTATAATTTTTTATTAATATGGTAGTTGATTATTCATGTGTGTGTGCTCGCAGAGGCTACAGTTGCCTAGAAAAACATGCATGGTTTTCTCTTTTCCTGTTTGAAGAACTGCTTACTTGTGATGGTAAGTGTTCTAAATTTGCCTGTGTTCTTGAGGCAGGTTGCTGTTTCAAAGAACTTTATTCTCTGACTTTAGAGAGAAGACACTACCTTGAATTACTGATACATAAATATGGCAAAGGAGTAACACAGTCTTGACTCTTGAACTTGACTCTCCACTTTCAAATAGTTCATACTTTTCTGTGTGCAGTCTTGCATATTTGGTCCCAATCCCTTTCCATAACCATAAATTTTATTTTATGTTTGCAGGACTTATTCAGCAGATCACTACCTGCAAGAAGCAAAGAAGCTAAAGCATAATGCAGATGCACTGGTAAAGAAAACACTGTTTATTGCATACTAGAGACATTGCTGCTATTTTAGATTTATTTATATTTTTTTTTGGGGGGGGGCTATTCCTCTAACAGTAGTAATACTCCCTTTTATTGCTGATTTGTATTTTAAATATTTTATATTTCTTTAGTCTGACAGGTTTGAGAAAGCTGTGTTCTACCTTGATGCTGTAGTATCCTTCATTGAATGTGGGAATGCATTGGAGAAAAATGCTCAGGAATCAAAGTCCCCATTCCCTATGTATTCCGAAACTGTGGAGTTGATCAAGTAAGTGATAAGGAGCACTAGTAAAGAGACTTGTCAATGTAGAGAGTAGAAACTCTTGAAATCTGATTTATAGATATACAGTTGTGTTCAAAATTATTCACATCTGATTTATAGATATAATTTTGTTACTTGCTTAGATGAGTTTTTAAAAAATGAATCTTGTGGATTTTCTTTTTTAAAACCTTGACTGTCATTTTTCACCTCCTTCCCAGTGTTATGCATCTTTCTATATTATTAAGCTTTGAACACTTCAGTAAAACATTGGACAAAATGTAGTCTGATGCCTCACCTTGGAATTGACCAAAACTTTTGACACAGTCTATAGGACCAACCTAAAAGGCATCACAGCATTCTTTGTAAAAGAAAAGTGAACAAGAACGGGCAGTTCTGATGTCTTGTTGCTTACTCTGTGATCCCCCCCCCTCCATTGCAGATACACTATGAAATTGAAGAATTACTCAGCACCGGATGCAACTGCTGCAGACAAAAGGCTAGCAGTGCTCTGGTATGTCTACATTAAGTTCAATTAATGTGATTAGACTAGCTGAAGGCAGAGTAGCTCTATAGAAATGTAAATGTTATGGAAAGGGCAAGGTGGATGAAGCTGTTCTTTTCTGCCCAGACTTATAGACACTGACTGGTAGCAGCTCTTTAGGGTCTCTTCCATAGATATCTCTTCCACTTGACACTTTTTTGTTTGGTGGTAGAACTTAACAGGATTAGAACTAGGAGCCTTCTGCAAGCTATGTATGTGATCTGTCGCTAAACAAGACAATACCTTATTTCTGAACTGAATCACAACATATTTTTTTACTGATGAATGATAGAATTAAGATAACTCACAAAGCCAATAATAGAAATGTAAACCTATATTGTCATTTTGAAGGACATTGGGGTAAATCCAAGAATTCACTAGTTGACACTTAAATGTTCTTATCTCCTTATCTCCACACTGCCTCAAAACTACCTCCAAAGGATTTCCTAGATCTGCAGATTGGGGTTTTTTTTCAGGGGGGGGGAGGGAGTTCCCCTTCTGCTGGATTCTGCCTTAAGTGAAAAATTTAAATGGTTGCATGGGCTATATGTTCTTCATCTAAATTTTGTGGGGAGAAAATCAGGATGATTTGAGTCTTTGCTGAAGATGAACTCTTTATCCTTGGCTATCCTTGCCCTTTCAATATTGTGCACTGTGTGTTTGCTGAACACAATTTTAAAAACTATTTTTAACTGCTGTTGACAAGATTTCATACTACTAGTGTTGTTTCTTTTACTAGTCTGAGATGCCAGTCCCTTTTATACTTAAGACTTTTCAAACTGAAGAAGGAAAGTGCTTTAAAGTATTCCAAGACACTAACTGAACATTTAAAGGTAAGTGGTTTCACTGTTTGTTTTTAAAAAAATCATTTGAAACTGTAACACAAAAGGTCACCCATTCCTTTAGTTTTCCTAAATGCATATCAGTTGCAAATGTATTATAAATAGTTTTGAAGGAACAGAAGCCAATTATTGCAAACTGTCCAGAAACAGTTCTAGAGGATTCAAATATGTACTTCAAATATGTCCATTTAAAATATATATATTAATAGTTTTACAGTATTTTATTTATTTATTTATTTGATTTTTACCCCGCCCCTAATTTAATTTAATTTAATTTAATTTAATTTATATCCCGCCTATCTGGTCATGTGAGGACCACTCTAGGCGGCTGTATCAGTGCTACAGTAGGCTGTAGCACTGATAGTCCTGGCTAATTTACCTATCTTTGCTATCCTATATTTCTTATTCTATCACTTATTTCCTAATGCGTTGTTTCAAAAGTACTAACAGTCAAAACCTGTTGGCCAGTCAACTATACTGAAAAGGGTATTGCTGAATCATGTGCAGCAACACAATTTATTGCAAAGATCATCTTCTATACCATTGTTCCATTTTACTCATTTGGTCACATATGTGATGTAGCCTGAGGTAATTCTTTAATGCATTGAACAGTTCAGCTGTTTTTGACCAGTACTTTCCAGTTTACCATCCTCTTGCAGTAACAATAGGATGAAATGGGACTTTTCAAAAGGATAGTTAATGTGCTGTGAGCAGACTTTGGCCTTTTAGAAGACAATGGACCATGGCTCTTAGCCTTCCTTACTGTTGGCTATACTGACCAGGCCTGATGGGAGCTGCAGTTGCACAACATCTGGAGGGTAAAAGTTTGTAGTAAAATGTGTGATCCCATATAGTGATCACACAATACCTTTTTAATTTACATAAGCCTTAGATAATATTTACCTGTTATTTTAAACAAGAAGTGGCCTTACTTTCTTAATTTCTTATCTCTAAGGTGAAAGGTAAAAAAAATAATATGGGATGATCAAGACCTCTCCCCAGATGACCAATTCTTTGATCTCAGAGCTTTAATTTAAACACAGTATTAGTATAATAGAAAATGTAGAGAGAATTCTCGCTATAGCATTTTAAAGGCTTTCACCTGTAACTGTTTAATTGAATTGGGCTTCTTGTAAGTTGCAATGATTATAATCTCTAATTGTTGTTTTAATTTTGTCTTGAATCAGCATCAGTCAATTAAACTCTCAGTGTTGTGTTTTTTAAAAGTGATTATTTTAAGTCACTTAATGATTTTACTGTATCTTTCTGTTTCAGTTGTACAGTTCACAATTTCCATTCAGTCAGCATTTAATTTAGTTTGTTTTTTCCTAAGCAGAATTCATATAACAATTCTCAAGCACCATCACCTGGTATGGGAAGGTAAGAATTTATTTAATGTATGTTTGTGTTGTTTCCATAAACATATGATTTTAGAAGTGACAGATCTAGACATATGTATTTGAAACTCTGGTAAAGCAATGTTTCTATGTTGTTATCTTAGGGATTGTCTACATGCCCATTTTGGAGCTGGCTGGAGTGGGCTAAACAGGGTTGCTAGTAGGTCTGGTATACCATTTGATGTGAGCCTTGTATCCAAATGGCATATAGACCTTAGATGACCTGTTAGGTCTGCATATCTCTCCAGTCACTTTACAGTATTGACACTTCAAACAGGAAGGCTTGTTTTTGGTTCATTTCCAACAATTACATGTGCTGGAAATGAACCAGAACACAGTGATCCTACCGAAATCCAAAAAGTAGAAAACTGACAAGGGCCAGAAAGGTGTGGGTAGGAACAGTGTGGGGACAGGCTGGTTCCCAGCAAAGATGTCATTTGATTGCCTTCTTTAGGAGTGAACCAGCCAATCTTTAGTGGATCAAACATTGGGCTAAGTGTAGTCACCCCCTTTTATTTTTGTCACTTTCTCCAAAAGTCCATGAGCTGTTAATTGGTGCTTCTGGCTTCAGAGTTCAGTTGATCTGTGATGTTTTCATACTACTTGATTTTTCAGAAATGTAATACAGTTTTATCTTTTGTCTTCTGTAATTCATGTTTTCACAAAATTCTCACAAATCAGTAGGAAATAACTAATGTTTAATTTGCAAAATTGTATAATAGAACAGGCGTATCACTTGTACTGCTTACTAGAATAATGTGTGATGTAAATTAAAATTTTGCACTTTTGAGACCTAATTCATTAGCAAGCTGGTAATGTATTTCTCACAATGAACACACGTACCTTGATGAAGAAGATCCTCGACATTAGGTTACATCCATAAAAATTGTGCCATATGGATAGTTAATCATACATGCAACATCCTGAATGGCACACATACATTTGTGCTGGATTGAGCCCAAGAGATAATGGATTCTACCAGTTTAAAAATTCAACTAGACACTGTAGAATTAAAGTCAGTATGCAGTTTTTACATTATATAACTAACATCTGTAACCAGCTCTATCTTGGTTTAATATGGGTGATAGCAAACTAAAGTTTGTTACCTGTTTAAATTTTAGCAAACCTGTCAGCATGCCATCTCCAGTCTCCCCAAAGTTGTCTCCAGGAAATTCAGGAAATTACTCTACAGGATCAACCAACCCTTCAGGGAGCACATCTTCAGTAACTATTCCACAGAGGATACACCAGATGGCAGCCAGCTATGTCCAGGTTACTTCCAATTTTCTGTATGCCACTGAAATTTGGGACCAAGCTGATCAGCTTGCCAGAGAGCAAAAAGGTAACACTGTGCTGCATTAATTTCTGACTAGATCTGCTGGATTTTGTCACATTAGTAAACCCAGATATGTATTTCATTCTAATTTTAAGAGATTGTTGCTGTTGATTCACTTAAGATAGCAAAACCACTATATTGGAAAATACATTGTCTTTGATTCTTGAACTTTAATCCCCTACATTTAACCTATGGCAGTTATCTGCTGAAAGCTATGGCTCTGGAATTATGCCAGCAGAAGTATACAATAGGAGTCTGGCCATTTTATTGCCGCATGGGGGAAGGGCATTTTACTTGTGCCCCCAAGTGTAACAGGGCAAGGTTCAGGTCCAAACTCTGCTAGAATCATATAATATGGCCTGTAAGGCCATCAAGGTCAATTCCTGTACAGTGGTGCCTCGCATAGCGAGGTTAATCCGTTCCGGATTAACCTTCGCTATAGCGAAACATTGCTAAACGGAATTTAAAAAGCCATAGAAACGTTCAATGCGTTCCTATGGCTTTAAAACTCACCGTTAAGCGATGTTCCTCCATAGCGCCGCCATTTTCGCGCCCTCGGTAAGCGAGGGCAGGGCGCGAAAATGCGGCGCGGACCTTCTGGCGGCCATTTTGGAACCGCCGATCAGCTGTTCTCCCCCGCTTCATTAAGCGAATCGCTTAGTGAATATCGCAAAGCGAAAAAACTCCATAGGGGCCATCGCTGAGCAAATGCTCCAGCGATGGCCCAGAGCCCCTCGTTAAGCGATTTCATCGCTCAGCGAGGCGCTCGTTAAGCGAGGCACCACTGTATTATGATCAACAGTCTAAGGCCATTGAGTCCAAACCCCTGCTCGGTGCAGGAATCCAAATCAAATTAGATCTGACAGATGGTTGTCCAGCATTGGAGCACTTACTACCTGCCAAGGGCAATTGGCTTTGTTGTCATGCTGCTGTAACAAGACCTTTTTCCTGATAGTCAGCCGAAATTTGGGCTTCCTGTAACTTGAGCCATTATTATGTCTCCTGCATTCTGTGATGATTGAGCACAGCTCCAGCCCCTCCTCAGTCTGACAGTCTTTCAAATATTTGAAAAGTGTTATCAAATTTTCCCTCAGTCTTCTTTTCTCAAGGCTAAACATGCCCAGTGTTTTCAGTCTTTCCTCATAGGAATTGGTTGCCATTTCCTCAATCATCCTTGTTGCCCTCCTCTGAACTTGTTCCAATTTATTGTTATCCTTGTTTAAATGTTGTGTCCAGAACTATCAGATGGGACTGAGAGGAAATAAATTAATTGGTACATGATGCTTGTGGATTTTTATGCAGACTTTTTGTTTGCCTTCAATAAGTTCTACAGTATGTCCTAGAAAGATGGAAGCAGCATTGGCATAGCATAAGCCACGTTCAAAAGAAAAGCCTGTTAACACACACCATTTCTTTAAAGCAGAAAGAGCATGCATTGGAAACTGTAGATAAGGATGGGCAAACTATAGTCCCTGGGCCTTGTGTGGCCCCCCAAGTGGCATTTTTGGTTGGCCTGTAACAGAGTCTAGAGTGAAAACCTGCCCCTCAAGCTTGTCAAGTTACCCAATTCTGCTCTAGATCTTCACATTGAGAAATAAATGTACAGTGGTGCCCCGCATAACGAGGTTAATCCGTTCCAGATTAACCCTCGCTATGTGGAATCATCGCTAAACGGGTAGGGAAAACGT